ATAAACATACCTATTAACGAGGATTGAAACTTTTCAATGTTTGGCGAAAAGAAGATTTTTTAAAAATGAGATAATTTAGTTTGTTCGTTACTTGATCTTGGGAATTTCGATGATTATTAAAGTATATGTATTTGATGTTGAATGATTAAATCTTGTTGACTTACTCAAAATAATGAAAACAGACAGTTTTATTAAATTGCCTGATGTTGAGCCATGTTCGTATGTATCGTTCACAACATATGCACGACATTGGTGCGATCTACTCATTATATAGTTCAATTATTCGTGTCTATTCAAAGTGTTTTACTTAATGCAGGAGAGACTATCAACTGATTGATAACTGATCAGAGTTCTACATAATATTTTTCGGCATTCGTTTAGGAAATTTGAAAGAATCAATTCTACTATGCAGTCTGAATTATTACAAGTAGTAGATCAAAATCTAAAAGAGTAATCAAAACTTTAAGCATTTCAAATGAACTCATGAATAGTGAGGATTCATCGAAAAAACACAAGAGAAATCAACGAATGATTCGAATTTTTTCAGACAAATCCATTTTAAGAGATGGCTCATTAAGTTATTACTTTACGAAAAATATCAGTGCTGTACTTCATACTCGTACATTAGATCTCATAGTTTTCGATATTTTCAGCATCAAAAAACCTACTGCCTAATGTCAAAAGATAGACCATCTTTCGTTCTGTCAAGCTATACATGCTCGTATATCTTATTGTGGCTTTTGACGAATAAAACGCCATTACTCAAAATGCTTAGCATAAAAAATTCTATCGTGTTTTTCACTAATTTGACTGAAAGTCCCTAAAATTCGAAGGTACCAAATATTTTATTTTGTCAGAAAAAAGCCCGGGAAAAAACTGCATTTTCTGGTGTAAAAACACATCTAAAAAAATGATATGATGGTTCAGTGAAGTTTTACAAACAAAGAGGAAGACTTGATCATTTCTATGCTAATTTCGCATGTGTATTTTGTGTTTTTTTCCTTTGAAGGTTTGTACCTTTCAGAATTTATTCCTCGAATTCATCTTAATGATCATAACTGTATGAAAGCTCTCATGGAACTTAACAGAGTGAACTGCTATCGCGTACTTGCCTCTTTAGTTCTATTCAACTTCATACCACGATTTCGAATACAGTTTTCAGTATTATAAGTTATTATTTGTCTGGTTGGTAGCTCTGCAAATAAATCTCATTAGTTTTGATAATATATATTGTTTGCTTGTCTTTCATCAGCTGTTTATTGACATAGTTGTACGATAGGTGGTGACTTCACTGCTCAACTATTGCATAACTGCGTACGTGCATGTATTATAACCAGTCGTATTCGACCCTACCACAATAGTCATTGCATTTAGTCCTGATCATCGGAGAGTACAAGATAAATAAGACTGTCTCGAGGAGCTGTGTCGTAAACTATCATTTTTTCAAATGTTTAAATAGTGATCTCCATGAATAACGGTACTCTGATGTTTTTTCTCTACAGTCATGAATTCATATTTCCTGAGTCCGCCTGACATAGAATAACATTGACTGATTCTTTTGAATGCGCTAAACCAACATAAGAATATCAGATGAACATTTTATTTAAAAAACAAAAAGGTTTGCAGATGCAGTAGGCAAATGACGCATTATTAAAGCATGATTGTCATAGGAATGAAATTCTATCTTCTCGTATTTGTTACTAGTAAAACACGTTCTGTATGTATCTAGTCTTCTAGCATTAAGATAGCCTACGAACACTTAGTTTTATTCGCGTATTGCTTAAAGATGGACATAATGGTATCAAGTGAGAAAGCTACACAAACGAACGCAGATCGTCGTCAGTATTACAAATTTTGTGGTATAACAGTTAAAATGGTTATGCAATTCATTTCTTCACTAATTCTTCCACTCATGTTGGGAATCTTCACCGTTGTCATCACTCTTTATCAACAAAATGCAGCCACGAAACAGCGTATCGAAGATCGTCAACTGGTCCGTGAACAAAGACCAGAGGAATCGAAATGAATCGCGATTACAGCGCGAACAAGAATTATATGTCTTAACTATGCAACATGAAACCCAGAGTAAGACAAGCAAGGATCAATATCAAGATGGGATATTTGTTGCCTAAATCAAGGAAGTAGGAGAGACGTTGGAAAAGTACAATGGTTCACTCACAGCCAATCCACTCATAGCAACACTTGCACGTGTTAAAACGCTAAATGTCATTCGACAACTTGATGGGTCGCGCAATACACATATCATTCGTTTTCTCTATGAAGCTGGGCAACTAACTAAAATGGATGAATCGGATAGTCTGGATATCTCAACTGCGAAGTTGATCGATATAGATTTTAGTACTTCAACCACTGCAATCATCATGAAACAATTCTCGTTGAGCGGTGTTACTTTTCAAAATTGCACGTTCGATCGTATTGAATTAGATAATGTTGAATTTTCATTGGCTGTGCTCGACAATGTCAGGTTTTCATATGCCACCATCGACGATGTCAGTTTCGTATTAACCGAACTCTACAATGTCGATTTTTCATCTGCTGAGCTTCGTTTGGTCAATTTTTTAGGTGCTGAACCTAGCGACGTCGACTTTTCAGACGCCGAACTCACCGAAATCGATTTTTCAAAAACCGAAGTAAATAATGTTAATTTTTCAGATGCCAATCTCATGCATGTCGATTTTTCAGACGATGACCTGGCCGATGTCTATTTTTCAGACGTTGATTTCACCGATGTCAATTTTTTGGGCGCTAATCTCACCGATATTGATTTTTCATCCACCGAACTAACAATTGTCGACTGTTCATTCGCCAAGCTTGACAATGTCGATTTTTCATTCACCGAACAACTCTACATGGTCGATTTTTCATTTGCTGCACTTCAAAATACAAATTTTTCATCTGCCGTACTCGACATAGCTAATTTTTCGTTTGCCACACTGTTCAGTAACGGCGACTTTTCTTTAGCCGTGCTCGGTAATATCGACTATACTTTTGCTCTCATTAATGATGTCTATTTTTAAGTGTATTCGTAGGCTCCGCTCATTTTTACTATGCGCATATGCCTCACACTAATTTTGTACGAACCCGTTGCATGATGGCTCATTTTGGTCATACTAATTTGTCGAATTCGGTTTTTTGGCGGGCCAATGCCAAAAGTGCTATTTTTAATAGTGCTGATCTAACCAATGTTAATTTCACTCTTGCTAACCTGCACATGGCTGATTTTACTAATACATTAATTACTGACAGTCAACTGCGAAGTGCTCTATCGATTCAAGATGCCCGACTACCCAATGGAACGATTGGACACGACCCGAACTTGGTAAAAAAATGGCCACGCCGATTGCAATATATCTTTAGTCGAAAATTGGCAGTTGCAAAAAGGTAACATCACTACTGTGATATTTGATGGAGACACAATTGACTGCCACTTTACTTTTCAATCTAATATAATCGGAGCTACCATGTCTCAAAAAATCAGCATAGCATTTGCTTGGGATTTTGCGTTTTGGAAATATTCTCGAGCTATATTAGGTGCACGTATGACAAGTGGAGTAGCTATTCAATTGAATATCATGAACAGCAAGGGAAAAATTGTTAAAAGGCAAATCTTCAGTAAGTTCAAATAAACTATTAACATCACTTACACATTTTTCTTAGATAGATTCAACAAACAATAACGTCACCATGACATTTAATAAAAATATGAAAGAACTCGAGGTTCGTGTCATGTTTAGTGCAAGTACTGATGAAAGCCAAAAGAACACTTGGTGTGACGATATCGAACTCTTCATTGACTATGACACAGAAGTTGAAGATTAAGTGAATTGCAGTATTTGTTTGTAGTAGCTTGCGTATTTGATATTTGACTTAATTCGCTTTTGTTTACTATTCAATGCAGCTGTTAGAATATCTTAATTCTTGCATATCTATCTGTTGTTTTGTGTTTGCTTGCTTTTTCAGATGAATCGATAATAAGATAATGATAAAAATTAGTAGGAAAACGATCAATTCAACGTAACGAAAACTGAGATGTTTGCCGGTATGAATACGCTTGACTACGTTCGTCAACCTGCATACCATGAATGCTCGATTGGCAAGGGAGGGAGTCACAAAAAATGGTGCTTTTGAAATGCCACTATAGTACATCATATTGATTTACAACAAACTAGATTACATGGGGGAAAGCGACAAATCATATAAGTTCTTATGAAACAATAATCGACTTTATCGGTTTGAATGATGTTGAACAGGTTTTTCTTTGATTTTTATTCTTGGCAGGTTTCTATTTGTTTAGAATCCAATGGTTCGACCAAGTACTCTGCACGAGCACGACTTTTCGCAATCAAATCCAAACTGTAGCCAATCGACATCTGGCAGATACTTTCACAATCATAGTACAGTCGTCAAGTTTTTATTTTATATGAAAAAATATAATATTTAGTTTCTTCTATAAAGAGCAACAAAGAAAAAAAGATCATCTAAAATTCCACAGAAAAACCAAGTGATTTAGGGTTCACTTATTGTCTTTGTGCTTCTAAAATTTGATCAATTCAGCCAAAATCAATGCTCCTTCCATCATAAGAATAAACTTTCACTTTCCACATATTCAATTACTTCGTTGTATCCATCATCATCATCTTTGGATAAATTTTCATTAAAAAAAACGAATCTTTCAGCAAAACAATATCACCTTCCACTCCTGTGCCTTGTACTTAAAAGTACAATAAACTGTTCAATCAATGATCGAACAGGTTGCAGAACACACGTTCAGAGTACGTACTTATTTACTATTACTTTATTCTCTAAAAATAGAAGGCGTGCTTCTATTCTGTATTCAACAACAATATGAGTAATTTTGCATAAATTAACAAAATATCCAAAAACTGTATATAATTACTCATGAAACATTTATTATTATAAGATAAGTACTACATATGAGTACTCGATTGATGAATACCTTCACTAGAAAATGTTAATATTCATTGAGAAGATTGTTTATATAGTTCAATGTTTACTTTAAAATATTTTGTCCTTTCATCAATAATTTTTTCACTAAATTTCCAACATTCTTCAGCTAATTTTTTATTATAAGCCAATGGACTTGATTTTGCTTCTTTACAATTCGCATGAAATTTCCCTGGTTTAGCTTGATTCGATAATGAACAATATAAACTTGTTTGTGCTCCTTGATATAGTGACTTACCAACTATAAGTAATACTAGTTGATAGATAAATTCAAATAGTTTTGGTACTCGTCGTGTAATTCCTGTATATATCATGCCTGGATGCAATGAATATGCACTTATACCTTGTTGACCATAACGTTGTTGTATTTCATAAGCATGCCATATTTGAGCTAATTTTGATTGACCATATGCTATTTGTGAATTATAAGACGAACTAGGAAATTCATAATTGACATGATCATCAACAAAACAGTGTCCACTACTACTAACATTAATAATACGTGCTTTTGATCGAATTAATAATGGTAAAAGAAGTTTTGTTAAATAAAAATGGCCAATATGATTTGTACCGAATTCTGTTTGTAATCCATCAAACGTTAGTGAATGTCTTATTTGTGCTGTACCAGCATTATTCATTAGAATATTTACATGTTGTTCATGTTCAAGAATTTTATCGGCAAATTTTTTTACGGAGGAAAGTTTTGATAAATCCAAATCATAACCAATTATTTTACCAGTACCAATTGTATGTGCTTCATGTTCTAATAATTGAGCTATTTCTTCAGCTCGACTATGACCACGTATACCAACAATAACTTTTGCACCTAATTTAGCAAATTCAATAGCTGATACACGACCAATACCAGATGCTGCTCCTGTAATTACAATTGTTTGTCCGGTTAATTTTGTATTTTCTGGTGGTATATATGAATGACCAGATGCTATTTTTTTACATATAAATATTATTATAATAAAATAAAGAAATAAAAAATAAAATGGAAATGTATGAATAAAATAATTTGTAAATAATACAATAAGAATATTTGCAAGTAAGAATATAAAGGATTGAATTTCAGGTTGATATAATAATGGTATGATGTGCATCGTCAAAGAAATTAATCTAAAATGAATAATATTCATCTAAACCTAATTTGAGAATAAAAATCTAATCAAATTTTACGAAGAAATACTTTTTGGTTTGTTTGACTATACTCCTGCGCAAAGTGGTTATACCTTGCTTTATCAAGTCAACGTGTTCTACAACAAAAAGAAACACAACCTTTTAAATAGTAAAAGATTACACTTTTTCTTCTTTTTCTTCTTCTACATCAAATATTTGATGTAGAATGAGAAAAATTAAAACGAATACTGAATAAACATAGCATAGATATGTTTGATATTGATTTTCTATTTGTTTTTAATTCTAATTTGCTAAGCTATTACCTTCTGTTAATCAAAAGAAATAAATTTAATAGAGACATCCAGCATCGCAATCAATATAAAAGCAACAATACAGGATACAAACCGTTCATGCTTCTGAAAAGATTATCCAAATCAGCATGCAGATCTTAGAAATTGTAGATATCGGAACATTCATCGGAGAAAATTCACACTGAAGGACAAGTAAGAGATTGATTATTCATTTTGAGAACGAGAAGACAGATATTTAATTCAGCGTTTTGAACGCTACTTAAAAAATTGTTCTCTCACATTGGGTTCAACTGCATTTATTAGCTACAATTCTAGTGCAAGACATTGCTTATTGAGCAAGTACATATACTCTTCTCGTAGAGCGTAAATTGAATCTGCATAATCATCTTCTGAATTTATTTTGTTTTGGTGAAAAAGCACAATGTAATATTCTTCTCTAATCAACAATTCAGTAATCGTTTTCAAGAATGAAAGAACTACGAGATATATAAACTCGAAAACATTCGAGAAGTACAGGAAAGCGAGTAGACCTTGTTACTCAACTCGTGTCAAACAAGATTCTTGAAACATACTTAGATTGAACGAGTCCAAACTAGCTCAAAATTACAAGCGAAACCAATACGAAAGTCGAGCTCAGGACTTAAAATTTAGGAAAATGAAGTGTATTGATACTTTTCAGAAACTTCATGAATGAACGTTCTGACTTGACATGTCTCGTGATACTGAAAATGGATAGAGAGAATAAAGCAGCAAAAAATGGTGTCCTCATCGAGATGGATGTGATGTAGAATGAAGTTTCTAACTCAACGACTCAAATAAAAAGAAAAAGATAATATCGATGTCGCGACATTGAATAGAGAGAGAAAAGAAAAGCAAAAAATCCTGTGACGATGCTGGATAATATAGGGCTTGCGCCTCCATTCTGTTGTTAGAGAAGATGAAAGGCTTTTCATATTCAACAACTACCACTTTGACGTCAGAATCAATAGTAAATAACCCAATACTTGCGTCTTGCGGCTCTTCAAATATATCTTAGGTGCGTGTACGCTTGCTAACTAGGAAATCATATTTGGACATTGTGAATGACCTTCGAGAATTTTGATATGTGTCTTTTTTCTCTGGAAACTTGCACTGATTAATTTAAGGCCAAGGCACAAAAGGCATCGATTAAGAATATAAAAAAAGAAAAGAATGACTGACAACTTGTCATTGACACATTGGTTATTTTTCTGACGAACAAAAGAAAACGCTAACATTAGAAAATGTTAATTTTTTGATACACAATCTTAAAATAATAAACTCAGTGAGATCACGAAAGGCGCATGTAAATCAACATTTACCAATGTTTAAACGTCAGTGAATAAGAATCCTGTTTCATGGTTGAGAAGTAAGCAATAATTTTATCTGAGAGAAAGAAAGTATTCATGAACACGCTGTACATTGCTCAAATAGAAGCCAGAAGGTCAGAAAAATGGAAACAAAACTAAAATATAAGCCAAAACACAGCGAGACAAGGTAAAAGAAGATAAGAACAGAAAAGTGATAATGTGAGTGTAGTACTCAACTGTATCAAATGGCTATTTTGATCTACTGTTTTATATTCATTGAATAGTTCAATTTGTCCATTCTTCTTTTTATAAACTGCAGCCCATTTTGCTATTCTACTTTCATCTGGAACTTTATCACCACAAAAATATTTCAATTCTTGATAAATAATATGTGGATCGATTTTCAATGCAGTACGTATTTCGACATATGAACGAATATTCTTCATTTGAAACTAAAACAAAGTGTGATAGATGCATCATATGAAATTAATTTTTGAACAGAACAACGAATAGAAACAGATATACATATATTGATAAAAACACAAGAAAAATATCCAAAACGATATTTGAATTTGCTTTTAGATGTTCATGAATTTCACATGTTTAAACGCTTATTTTATCAATCGTCAAAATTTCAATTATCTTATCAAAAGTTAATTTTAATAAAGTGCAAGAAATATGAAAATTACCGAAATATCGAAGCTATTAATTATATATAACAGGTACAGGACCGAAAGTTTTGAGACAAAATATTTTTTTTATTGTTGGCTCTCTTGAAAGTGTTTCCGAGGAGTCAAAACCTGTAGATTAGAACCAGCTTATTGTGCACTTTCCAAATATGGCCCAATAAATTATATCTCAGTTTTTCTTCAAGACTAATAAAGAAATCTTTTCAAGGTCTAGAAAATTAGATTGAATGGTGAACCAATAAATTTTTGCTACCTCCTATAATATTGAACTAAGCTGTAGCTTTTATCTAAGTAAGACTATATATACTTTGCTAAGAGCTACTTTTAATTTTAATTCCTTGATTAATGAAACTTTAAAAACAATGACTTACATTATTATAAGTATCTGTACGTAAATCCATGGTTTGATTTCGAAATCTGTCGAGATTTGCATTTTTGTATTCGATTGCTTGCCGATAAAGTTTACCAGCAATGGATTGAGATTCGTATGATTTAGCTTTCATTAGAAAATCTGGATATATTGTACCATATGATTTGCGAATTTGACTTAGACGTTTTCGATCAATGATATAACCCGTTTTGGAAGAATCAACTACAACCAACCGAAATGATAACATGAACCATTTCAGATTTCAAATATACTCACTGGCAGCTGAAAACATAGTCGCAAGTTCAAGAGCGGCTTTCTGACATGTACGTTGTTCGCAATTTTCTAGATTTTTATCAACAACAGTTGCATGTAAATTATAAATTTCACCATAGCTTGTAGCACCCACTAATGAATAACAATGCTTTATCACATCGACATAAGTGATAGATCTAGGGTTTGAAGGAACATTTGCTACAAATGATGTATAATCGAGTGGTTCAGTTTTTCGAGACAATTGTAAATCTTGACCCCAATAAACCTTTTCGAACAAAAAAAAAGACTTGATAATCATGAAAATATTCAATAAAATAACATACAAAATATTGATCACCGTCTAGATCGGATCCGGCAATTTTATTTGGATCGGGTCCTACAATAATATTCATATTACGATCAAGGCAAAGAAAAATGCCACTACTTACGTTCATCTTTAGTCGAAAATACGATGACATCAGTTACACAATGAAGTTCAGGACAATCGACAGCTTCTAATACAAGCATATCACCGGCATAAGGACTAAAATATCGATTAAGATTTAATTGTTAAACTCAAGAAATTAAAAGAAAAAATATGAAACTCACCAAGGATTCTTCGTAACAATGACTCGTCCGACAACAGTTTCAAATCGAGGTTCTTTCAATGGTTTTCCATCGTTGTCCACACTCTGATATCGAATAAAGCATTGTCCTGGTTCAAGAACAGTTTCGAATGCACAACCAAACATATATCGACATTCGTTCACTGGTAATGGTAACTTATTTTTCAAAAGATGTCTATATCAAAAGAAGAAAAAACAAGGTCATATTATATCATCAGAACAAAAAACAATGTGTATACTCCATAACGTTTGGTGGTCGTTCTTTATCCTCAAACCACTTGCGTTGTAGACGAAGAAAAGTCTCGTCGGGTACACCAAGATCGGACATAATGATAATAATTTGATTATTGAGTCTGGTCGGAGCTATAATGAAAAACCAAATTATTTTCCTTGAACAACCAATTTTCACAGTACGATGAAGAATTTACAATCGACGATTGAAACTTAAGCTTCTGAAAAGTTGAAAATTGAACAAAGCAACATTCTTTCTTGTAAATTTTCATGTCAATTAGTAAAATAAGTCAATCAATTTAGTGATTACGTAAGACGGTTTTGAAAAGTCTCATTAACTAACACAATCTAGAAATCCATGTTCGATTTCTAACAGTTCAAACTATATGGTACTCCAAACAATAATCTCATAGTTAAAAGTATCACGTTTATGAATATCGTTCCTCGTATAAAATAAAACTTGTCCGTTTAAATCAGGTATTATATTGCTATCAAGAATAACACAATAAGTATTCGACTGATTACAAAAGAAAAACATATTCTAATGAGAATGAAATCAATTATCGGCCTGAATTCTTATCCAAGTCTTCCGATATTGATTCAAATTCTTTTTCTCTGAAATTGATAGAATTTCATGGTAGAATCCTTCATTCATAGTTTGATCTCTTATCTACGTATTTATACATTCATTGCCTCCTCTTGCACTTAAAATTAAAAAAAAACTGCCATACTTGGTTTGCTAGTTTCACAAATGTCCAAAGTCCAATCATCTGAGTCGAATTTTTTCATCGATGGACGAATTTTGATATAAAATTGATCCAGTGTTGACTGTGGTTCAATAACAACAAGACCTTTACATCCGGCCACTCGAATTTGATAAGCAGACGGATAAATATCCTAAGTCGATTAAAGAACATTTGTCAAAAGATGAACGATTCGAAAACAAAATGTATACATACATGATTTATAGTTTTAATGCGACAACCAAGTTTTTTGGCCACCATTCTTGCTAAACCTTTTGATATAAATCCATTACCATCTGTAAAACAATGACCGTTACGCTCAATATCATCGATCTTTGTAACACAATATTCACCATTTTGAACCCGTCGATCAAAATCATCAGTATAATTGAGTATGATCTGAAAGAATGAGGACATGTATAACTATTTCAAGAATTAATTAAAAATAAAAGATCCTTACTCCTGTTGGAGTACTCTTACTAAACCAAAGACCTAAACGTGCGACATATTTTCCAACATTAGTAATCTGACTAAAATCACCCAATTGTTTTCGTTTTTGATCAATTTCATTGTAAGATTCAGCTTTCACAAACCAATAACTATGTTCACGTAGTTGCGAATTGGATGCACCCAACAAATGGTAGCGAATATTACATATACGAATACCAGATCTCAACACCATCTCGTAAGATCGACATTGATTAATATATTGTCCTGCTTTATCGGGCTTAAAGTATACCAAACAAAAATCCTCGACATCATTGAAGATACGATGACGTAGAGCACGATGACCTTGAGTTCGTTCACGTGGTATAATTTTTATAGAAGACGGTGTGACATGAACAACATTAACATCACAGTAGAGATGATCTTTTTCCTAATCAAAAGAAATATAGAATGATTTAAGATTAATGAGTTCAACAATTGTTTACTTGTTTTTCCTCATCGAACTTGAATAAATCATATTTATTGTATTCAAATTCATCTTCATTAAAAATAGTCATTAAATCGAGTGATTCATTTTTTTGAAGGTTTTGATATGCATTAAGAGCTAATTTGTAAAAGCACTTATCGTCTCGATTAGCCAAGTCGATCATTATTGTTCGAAGAGATTCATTCGTTATATATTTATTATCAAATAAGGAACCAAGTGAATGAAGCATTTCAAGTGCATATCGAGTTCCAAATGTCGGATAAGGATCCAGAAAAGAATTCGACCACGATTGATGATTTTTTGTGTGATTCTCCATGAAAGATATTCAATAGTTTAACGAGGACTAATTGAAATAGAGTTAATCGAAAAGCGAGAATTGGTTTGTATTCAATTGTCTTTAAATATTTATACGAAAAAATAATGGGAATTCTCATCATGGTGATCAGTAGATACTCTTCCTGTAATGCAATATGGAAAAAAAAACAACACGTCAGATTTTCGTGTCAGTGTGGGCAAAATTGTTTTGCAATACCTTTTTCTTTCTGTTCTGATTATTCCACGTTATCAGCATGGTGTATGGTACAGAAGAAAACAAATAACATTGAAGAAGCGAGAAAAGAAAGGATGCAGCATACACCTTTTTAGAAGCATTCGATGTCGTTATTTTCTTGTGTTTTGTAATAGAAGGTAAGTCACGTAAAATGTTGCACATGCTAGAGTATTTTTCTGCTAGAAAATATTTATTCAAAAGCTTCTTTTACAGAAAGAAAATGATTGCACGTGAACAAGATTCCTTGCTAAAATCAACTACGTAGTATGCATAACAAAAGTTTCAAGTTTCTTTAGCTTTCATTTTTCTTAAGGCTCTTTTCTATTTTGCTTCCGTTGAAATCAAGAAAAAAGTTTAAGAAAATCAATAGAAAATATCTTTTTAAGTTACAAAAAACACAATATTTCAGTGCATATGCTTATCATTGATAATTATTTTCATGATTCGTTCGATTATCGCTTGTGTTTTTTAGGACTCATTTCTGTTATGTTCTTAGTTTTACGCTATATTGATTTACAACATTAAGCAAACGTCAGTTATTTGACTGAAGCAACAAGTGTAATACTTCCTTTACAGCTTCAAAAAACAACAATAAACCAATAGGACATTCTTCATCTGTTGCCGACAAATTTATCGTGATGACCGAAGATTCTTCGTTTGAATCATTATCAAAACTTGAAAATTCATAGCAAAATACATTCGAATATTGTCGTACCAGATTGATTTCATTTTCAAGTGCATTTGATGCTGTTACTGTCTTCAAGTTTCTTCGTTTACTAATCGCTTGTGATTCTTACATACGAGATCACCAATTAAAGATGCGTATGACCACGCGATAAATCAAGCACTTGTTCTTTCTTTCACGTCGAAAATTTTCGCTCGATGATAACGATGATCACTTAATTAATCGAATTTAGAAAGTGTTATGGCGCCTACAAGTGTATGGGCAATAAAGTCAAAAAATAATAGAAAACAATTCTCAGCGTTCGTTTCTTAGAATCAACTCATTGAACAAGTTCAACAGCAGGCCACTCACAGGTCAAATAATGATAGTCATGAGCTGTTTCGAATATTCATTCTGGTGTTTTTTGTTCAATGATATGCATCATTGCTGTCCACAGTTCAAGAATTGCCCACGCGGAGCAATATCTGACGGTATTAATCACTCCTAGATTAACAAATAATATTTCTTAATAATGTAAGGTAACATATACGCCCAAATCTTGTCCTTCTATACAAATTCATAATGTGGCTCTAAAGATCGTTGAACTAGGAAGAGACCGAATCTAAAAAGAAATAGACATTCGATAAAATTTGACTAGCATCAACAATTGAAGGGAGACGACTGTAGGTCGAAAATCGAACGGGTCTGAAATTTCCACGAATAGTACCTATGCCGGTCTGAAATCCATACCAATACTGCGCTGACAAATTGTCATACTGTTCCATCTGTGGATAGTAACATTTGACATAGTCAACTTTCAACAAAGTTTAATGACACATTCTCTATGAGATAATAAGAGTAAAAAATTAACAAGACATATCGGTAACAGTTCTGTGTTTGCTATGGGATATCCAATCTACTTACACTCTAAACGTTTTTCAAGTGATTTTAGTTTATTTGATCCCTTGAGAAAATAAACATCTACGCTTCTTATATTTACCACATGGAATTGGTAACTATGATGCGTCATATAAAAATATAAGCTGTGACATGTTGCAAGTATGCAATAATCAAAGAGCATGTTGTCAGCGCTGTTGCTACGTCAATGAGTAGCTCACAAGTTGCTTTTTCTCTTCTTTCTATTGTCAACAAAAGGAAAAAGAATGAAACCATTGAAAGTTTCTCCGTAATGCATTATTTAAATGAAACTTGTTTCAACGTGTGCATTAAATGCTTCTATTTTATAGTTAAACTTTACCACTATCGTGAAGTTGTTTTTTCGCTATATAATTCCCTTGTATAGTTAAGGATGGTGACATTTTTTGCTGTTGAATGATACCATTATATAATCGATAGTTGTCAGTACACAATTATTATAAATAAACTTGTATTCACTGCTCGTTGTGTTGTTTTCATATACATATATATATATACAATAAAAGGTGCATAATCATTTTTCTCATTTTAGATTATCAAACACGAAAAAAAAAATTTGTTCACGATAAGTCATACAGTATAAAAGTATTGTTTTTTTTATTCTTACTGATTTGAAACAATAAACATAATATTCGGTAGCCGTGAATAATAAAAATGATTTTTCTAAATCATATGTTTTCGCAAATTTTTCTCTGAAAACTGAACTCGTAGTTTCAAATTTTTTGAGTATCCAATATGTACTCAATTATGTCAGTAATATAATTTAATAAATCATTGCTCCTATGAACTTTTATCACAAAGCTAATAACAGAATCGTGTAATCTAATGCCATCTACTATTATTTGTCAGCTCTAATCGAGAACCTTCTTGAATTCGAATTTCTATCAAACAAACATCTCCCTATTTTCAGATTATCAAAGTTAACAAACCTAGTCGGATGGATAAAATTCCAAATAAAAGTTTATTTTTCAATATCAGAGTTCAACCTGAAACATAAAAAACGATTCTCTTGAATCTCTTATTCGCCCTGATTATCGTCCATTTTTCGCGGGATGCGTTACAAAGGTTATCATCGATCAGCCGGTATGTATAAAGAATGCCAACGAGTTTCGAATTTTTCCACTTTTTTCCTAAAAAAAAAGAGATATACACTGCACCTAACAGTAACTGCAAAGAATTTTTTTGCAAGTTTTTTCCTCATTTTAGTTGCCTAGTAATATTTAAGAAAGATTGCTTCATTTCTGAATGCTTGCTGAAGAACAACAACATAATGCTGAAAATATCACGAAAAAATATTTATTTAGACAAGATGCAACCGGACATGTATATACTTATAGATGTTCGTTTCCGTCTTAATTTATTTTGTAGTTAAATTTGGGCACATTTAGGCTTAAGGTGGATTTAAATATTAAGCTTGTCACAATGAAGTTCGCTAAGTTTTGAGTGCTGTCGGTGTATAATCAGGATAATGGTTAATCAGCAATGATAATGATTCAATTAATAAATTTAACAAATGAGTATGAAATGGAGTAATAGGAAAAACAACAGTATGCCAAAGAGAATGAGTCTGTCAACGATTAAAAGCCTTCTCTTAACTTTTCAGCGTTTGATATACATTCGTTTTTTTAAAAATGCATAACGATAGAGTTCAATACCTGATATGATTAAAGTGCGATCACCCGGCAGATAAATAAGAAGAGAGGTGGGGGTGCTACAGATCTCTATAGCACAGAGGCAATTCTTGGTATAGCCACTGAAAATAAAAAATTTCAGTTGTTTTGGTCATATTTGAACGTTGTGAGGTGCACAAATTCTGAAATCCTTTTTTTTCAAAGCAATTGCAATGAAGGATATCTCGATGTTAATTTAGACGGCAGGAATTGAAATGGATATTTCATTAATGAAAAATCCTGTTGTAGAAAAATCGAGATGTTAACTTTGCCAAGGTTCATTAGAACAATCCAACTTTAGGGCTAACTGACTTCAATAAAAGATAAAATTAAAAGCGATTTAACACTCGAGAAGTTTTCCTATAAGATTCATTATACAGAGAAAAACAGTGTCTTATTTAATTGACACATATCATTATGATGATATTTGCTTGTTATAGATATATTTGTGCAGTACTTGTTATCGCATAAAAGTTTTTCGGCAATGAGATTAGAACAAATTTATTTTTCCACATTTCAAAATCCTAAGATGATTTTAAACTTGATAACTAAAGTTCTATCCTAACTAATTCATTCTGATTCTTCTTTTTATTTCGTCTAGATAAATTATTATTGATGAGTAACTGAAGTGAATAAATTCTACAGTAGAAAGAAATCCCATGGCAAGTTCAACAATCAAAGATTCAGTGCCTAGCGAGTAAGAGTGAAACAATTCTCGAATTATTTAAACATTCTCTAATATATTTATAGAATAAAACAACATATTAAACCGGAGAGTCTCAAGCGAGAATTTGATATTAATATTTCACGAACTCAAACCACAATTCATGTTCTTCAATGGAATGTTCTTGCTCAGGGTAAATTTATATAGCTATATTCTCATATATGAACCTCGTATCTAACATATTTGCAGCTCTCTCATATACCAAGGGCAATTTCGTACGTGTTAGTGATGATGTAGTTGATTTTGATAGCCGTAAATGGCGCATCCTTGAACAAATTATTATTCGTCAACCTGATCTATGTGCATTGCAAGAAATGGATATGTTTGATTGCTTTTTAAAAAACGAATTACCAAAATATGGGTAATAAAATACATATATTTGAAATACTTTCAATTTTTCTTTTACAATTTTTCCAGTTATACATGTTATTTTGTGCCTAAACCTAATTCGAGGTGTGATTTATTCAAAGATGATACCAAAAATTACAAGGGCCCTGATGGTACACTTCTATGTTATAAAACTGAGGCATTCGAGGAACGTAGTAAGCGTCAAGAACAGTTGCCAGACGATGGTCGACACGCAAAACAGGTCGGGTTATTTTTTTTAGAAAAAGATATTTCATTGAAGTAGTTCAATAAAAAATTTGATAACATTGGAAATATAAAATCTTTAACACATGTATCTCACGTAAGAGTACAGTATCTCCGTAGCAATAAGCTAAAGGCCAGAAGTATTTTCAAGATATTCATAGTTTATTTCGATTTACATAATGCACATAGTCTCGACTCAAAGGCGATTTATTACTTGAAAGACTTCCCTCATTAGTTTCTTTCAATCGAAGATGCGTGTATAATCGAAGACATACACAACACTCGGACAATGTAGAAAATAGAACAGTTGATCTCGTTACTAGCAAAAACTTTTATTGATAATTCAATTAGAAGTTATTTCTATTTTTTTCCTGCAAGATATGCATACTTTAAGAATTACGATAAACTCAGGTGAACCAAAAAGATATTAAATACTTGATCTCGTTCTTTTTTTTCTCTTCAAATATACTTCAAATTCGAAGAAATATAACTATATCATAGTGAACTAGCCCTTTTTGTTGATTTTCTTCATTTTCCTCTATCTTGATCATTTTTTTGTACCTATTTTTCTTTAGATTTTTGCCGTACTTGATCTGAAACATAAGAATTTAGGGAATGAAATTCTTTTTATTGGAACTCATTTTAAATCTAAAAAAGAATGTAAACCATCACGAACGCATCAGGCCGAAGTAGTCGTTGCATTCATACGAAAGAATTATCCAACACGAAAACATGTGATTATAGCTGGTGATTTTAATGGAGATGCTGATGAACCTTGTTATTCTGAATTTTTAAATCTTGGTTTACGGAGTGCTTATAGAACAAAGATGAATGATAAGGAGCCAGAATTTACTACTTGGAAATTTAAAGGACGTGATGGAACCGAAAGTGAACAATGTAAAGCGATAGATTATATTTTTTATAATCCACAAGGATTTACACCTCAGGCTATTTTACAATTTCCAAAAAAAGCTGATATTGGACCAAATGCACTGCCATCAATTCATTATCCATCAGATCACCTGGCGCTTGAAGTTATGTTTAACATTGAACAATAAGATGCTTTCCTATTTCTTACTATTTATCGTTTCATAACATTTAATTAAACTTTTCTTCTTCTCTTGACAAAATATGTAAAGTTGTCTCTATTCCTCTAGTAGCTGGCTTATTTTGATTTTTTTGATGATTATAATACATAAAACAAATAAATAAATTCGAACAAAAAGACCATTGTTATGCTTTGCGTCGCACTTTTTTTTCTTCTAAAGTTCAAGTTAGCTTTTAGTATGACTGCTTCAGAATTTCAGTGTATCGAAGTAGGCGTGGGTGAGGATCAGGATGGTGCTAATATTGAAGGTGATGGTAAGAGTACGTCGCTGTAACCGGGAAAATACTAGTATCAGTCACATAATGTACATTGTCATGCCATCATTCTGACATAAATACAGATGTAAAACAAAATCTAAGCCAAATACTGTTATTATCTATTCTGCTTCCGTTGGTTTCTATTTGAAAAGAATTTTATATAATTGACAAGTAGTTGAACTTCATAAACTAAACACCATTTTACAATTTGTTTTTGCATTCTCAAGTTGATCTAAATATTTTAACAATACCTCGTCAGAATTCACTTGATTCGGTCATAAATGAAACGTTTTACTGCACTAAGTTTACTTTTAAAAAGTTTGATCAATTTATGATGTAATTTTTACATAGTGATGTGCCTTTAATAAAGGATGAACATGATTTTGCAGATCAAAGTATCATTCGACTTGATATCGGTAAAGTTTATGTCAANGCCGGACAGATCCCCGCAAGACACTTGCCCGTATGATGCTTGCCCGCATCCTCACCCTCAACATTGTCCATTGCGGGCACGTATCACACGGGCAAGTGTCTTGCGGGTATCTGTCCGGCGGGCAACTGTTCTGCAGGCAAGTGGCCGTAACCCATTAATCACGTATCTGTTATATATACTCCCACGTGTCTGTTTTGCTTGCATTACGTAGAAGCATATCGTGCACCTTCAGCTAGTTTTAACTGGTTTGCTCGAAGAGTACCATTAATATGCTCTTTTGGCCATGAAGCATGAGTTTTCAGTAGCATTTTATTCATTTTTTTGTTTCAGAAGCAACAAATTCTTTCAACAAAAATCAATGAAAAGTCATTTGGCAATAAAGCTGACGTGATGGTTACGTCCCGTCATTGTAATTATTTAAACGAATAGGAAAGCCTGGGAAAATTTCAGTCTATAGTATTTCAAATAATTCTTCGTGATATTTTAATAGTTGTTTCTATTTTCTGAACAGTTTTTTTGTCAAAAATCGTCAAGTTTCATTGGATCTAACGATAATAGTGGATATACCGAAGTACGCAATCCAACACAAAATTTTAAATATTATAAAAATTGAAACCATCTATTCTAGCCTCTCCTCAGCCGCAAAAAAACGACCAGAGATATTTCTTAGATGTTTTCTCAAGGTTGCAGATGCTCAATTTGCTTCTTTTAATGAATGTTTTCAAGACCAACAGTTGAAATATACATACTCATAATCGTCCATCCAACATAAGTTCAACGTCGCAAAAATTGCGAACGTGATCGAAAAATTTTGATGAGTAGTAGACAAATAATTTCAGACCTAAAGATCGAGTTCTGTAGGTTTCAACATTTGAAAGCAGAATTTCACTTAACATGATATAGTAGTACCGATATTTGAATTAAACACTGAAATCTACTATTCTTCATGGTTAGAAAAAGAAAATTGCACTCAAAAAGACTTATAATGTTATCTTTCTGTAGACGCAACGGCAAACCGCACCAAAAAAGACTAGTTTCTTTTCTCTCTACATGAGGTGCCAGGGAAAAACAAAGAAAAAAGGCAAGGAAAATGAAGAGTAGGAAGAGAAGTAGATCTATTGACGTGTTCGTTTGACCGTTGAAAATAACATACAATCGCTAAAAGTAGCAATGCATTTATGAGTCCGTTGAGAAGGAGAAAGAGAGAAAAAGAAGAAAGTGATTCTTTCAATTAGTGAAAAGACAAGGATGATTGTGATTGGTGAATAGGAGTAAAACTGCGTTTATAAATCGGCTATTTTGAAAGAGAGACAGCATGAAAAAGAACGGAAAGTAATGTGCAAATTATTTCTTCTATTGGTGATTATAAACGAACCAAGTGTTTGTCAGAATATGATGCAAAGGTAAAATTCATTTTTCCTACCGGTTTTTGCCTAGACAACAAGAAAATAAACTTGAAAACTGTCTACGAAACAAATAAAAAGCATATTCATGTATATATGAAAATTACCCCCTTTTTAAATAATATTTGAAGTTCTATATTTTGTTCCAATTTCTTTCGATTTTTGCTAGTAAAAAATTCTCAAACTAGGTATTTTCCAGGCAAGTCGATGAACTCTTTCCGCTCAAATGAAAAGGACACTGAAAAAAAAAATTTGCTATATTTTTGAAATTCGCGCACCTTACTAGGCGATTATAGGGGTATTGAGCATAAACATATGTATAGATATGTATAAATTTGTTACACTATCCTCTGAACGGTGGCACATCCTCAGCTAATTTATCTTAAACTTAAATTTATTTTACATTTAAATCCAATTGAAACGGATTTAAATTCAATCTAGATATAGATGGATTGGAATCCAACTGAAATGTATGTAAATCGCATTTGAACCCAATTAAATTAATATAAATTCATTTACACTGAGTTTCAATCCATTTCAATAGGGCCTCGATGCATTTAAGTTGAATTTTAATACATTAAAACTGGATTTGAATGCAATATAAATTCGTTACAATCAACTTAAATTAGTTTCATTCCAATGTAAATGCATTACAATCCAATCTAGATACATTTAGATTAAACTCAAATCCATCTACATCAATTTAAATTGAATATAATCCGATAATTATGGGGCTTAGATTTATTTTGATTAGATTAGTACCACCTAAACTAGACATAAATAGGACTGTAACAGTTCATGGGAACTGGAACTGTTACAGTCATAAAATTGATTTAAATTTTTTTAATAAGTTTATATTTTTTTCGTTGTCTCTAGAAAAAAAGCAATCTTTTTTTCGAAAATACGCTGTCAAACATATGTTTATGAGTATGTTAGTATTATTAGAAAAAAAAGGAGACAGTGAGTATGGCTTGTTTATACGGAATCTTTTATTCTGATGATCGAATTTTAATATATGATATTAGTTTCTTTTCTTATCTGTTATTTATTTCTTTTGAAGTCATGCATTCAAATAATATGGGTGATCAATTTACATTGGAAAATATTTACTAAAATCAGAAATAACTCAAGAGGAAAATGCACCCCTACATAGTATTGATGACTTAAATTGGTGTCGATCAAGTCAATTGAAAAACTTAGTAATATATTACCATAGGTCTGAAATTTTCTGATGAAATTTTCAGAGCTGTAGCTCAGCGTAAAGACTTCATAGAGCCGTTAAAAGAGTTCATCACAGCAGAGCTTGCAAATTGATAGAATTGTGATATTATTTATAACGATCTTCGAATCTAAGAAATTTAGCATATATATTTCGAGTTAGAGCTAAAAACAGCAAGAAAAAATCATTCGAATGCGAAAGGACAAACAAATATTTTCTCAGATGCCATTTCATTCACACTTGTATCACAGACGATAAATAGCATATCTAAGCATAAAGCACTTCTTTATCATGAAGGGCTTGACTCTGAATTCATTGTGCTGGTCTCATGAGATTTTTTCTCATAACTAAATGTGAGAATGATTAGTACAGAAGAGTATCATGCTATTACTAAAAAGACCGCAGTTTCAAAAAACGTATACTTACTTGTTGAATTCGTTCGAAATCTTGCAGTGAGAATAAAGCAATATGTTGGTTATATATATATCACAAAATACGTTTGATTTTTTAGTGTAAATGTCTATATTTGGATTAATAGCGCACAATTATATAGATCCTGTAGGCGTTTATTTCATACAAATATAACAATCGTTTTTCTTGCTCTGTCCTCATTGTTCACATAGATTCAACGACAACGATGAAAAGTCAAAAAAATGTTCACCAGAATGTGCACTATACCACGTTGAAAGTTTTTTTCTTTATAATCATTGCACAGAACTGACAAAATACTAGATTTGCACTGTTCACCATTTCTCACTAAACACCATAATCATCATTAAACACTAATAATATCAACGACAACTACAACAACAGAGAGGAGAAAAACAAAGAGAGAAAATTGAAGAGGATGAGAAAAATCAATTATAACGAAAATGAAAAAGTAAGCATCATGAAATAACAGCTCGCAATACTAGTATACTTGAATGCTATCTCAAGTATTTTAAGCAAATTCGACGTAATTGATTGTTTTGAACGTTGTTCACAAGAATTCAAAAACTGTTGACGCTGTTTTTTTTCTAGATGACACCTTGATCTTTTCAGCAATCAATCAAAAAGTTAACATTGATGAACAAATGAACATGGAATCTTCTACTGTGGTCTGATATGTGCCATCTTTTTGCCATAAACTTTATTAATTTTATTGAAGACTTGTCTTCTAGATTGTTAATAGTTTAGTTTTATTGTATGAGTTCCATAAGTGGTAGTGTGAATCTTTCAATAACAATAAAAAGTCATTTTGTCCCTCTTTCACTTATACATAAATAGGAGATACATTTTATCTAGCTTGAATAAGTGATAAACAATACCAAATATCCCTAAAAAAATGCATCCGTGTTGAGAAATTCACATCATGCGTATTTATTACCAGGAATAGGTATTTATTAGACAACATATCTTTTCATAAATATGCATTAGCTATAGTAATATCGTTATTCATGTAATTTATTTGAACACTTGAATACAATTAAGCTAAAACATTATTCACACAGGGGTAGTTAAATTTGGATGTTGTATGATACATAGTCCTTTTCTATCTATTTTGAAGTACGAATATGTCAAGATTTAATTTTACTAAAATATCTATTTGAACTTCTTTAAATTAATAGGTTTACTTCCATCATACTTTCATTTCATCTT